TCAGCACCCTGCACAGACCTCTCTGTGTGTCTCTCAAGACAAGCCCCCGCAGGAGGAGTCCGAGGGCCCGGGCAGCCCTCCCCCCTACAAGATGATCCAGACCATCGGGCTGTCGGTGGGCGCCGCCGTGGCCTACATCATTGCCGTCCTGGGCCTCATGTTCTACTGCAAGAAGCGCTGCAAGGCAAAGCGGCTTCAGAAGCAGCCAGAGGGCGAGGAGCCAGAGATGGAGTGCCTCAATGGTGAGGGGTCCCCTGGAGGCGGGAGGCGGTGCCGCGTGCAGGTGCTGAGCGCCCTCTGGTGGCCATGGTGGGCGGAGCTGCAGCATTGGAGGATGTCTGTCTGGGGCTTGCCCTTGTCCCTGCAGCCAGGGCAGGGCTTCCCACCCCAGCTGGAAGCCTGGAGTTGGCCCATTCCCAGGGCCTGGGCTTCTGAGGAACCTGGCATAAGACTTCCTCACTGGAGCCTCTGTGCCAGCTTCCTATGTTTCCTGTGGCACTAAGCCAGATATAACTACTATATATACTCATGTTGCTGGTCCACATCTTGTCTGTCTCTCCTGCTCCCCCCGCCACACCCCGTTATTAGTCTTTGAGTGCCCCAAGGCAATCTGTTTCTCTCCTCCAACTGGGACCTCCCTAGGGGCATTTTTGCGTCTCCCCTATAAGCTGAGGTGTTCAGACGCAGGGCCTGGGTCTCCCTTGTGATTTCCCCTTTGTGCCTGTTTTGGGCTTTGCCTATAGATGGCCCCGCGGAAGCCAAAACCCGTATGTCTGTATGGTGTGCAGGGACCAGTGATTCGGATGAGACTTGCGCAGCTTGGTCCATGTCAGAGGCTGTCATCCTTGTCTCATGCCCTCCGTATATCAGTCGAGATTGGACCCATTTGGTAGAAGTAGAGGGTTGGGGGGCGGGGCGGAAACAGACCCCATAGTGACCTGAGTGACCGGTCTCATCTTGGCATTCCCTGTGCTCCTTCCCAGGCGGGCCCTTGCAGAACGGGCAGCCCTCAGCGGAGATCCAGGAGGAAGTGGCTTTGACCAGCTTGGGCTCTGGCCCCGCAGCCACCAACAAACGCCACAGTACGAGCGACAAGATGCACTTTCCGCGGGCCAGCCTGCAGCCCATCACCACACTGGGTAGGCTGCCTTGGCCACAGCTCCCCTGCCTGGCTACAGGTCACCGGCTCTGTCCGACGCTAAGTCATGGCTGTGGCTCTGAAGTCTCTGACACCCAGAACCTAGAGATGGGGGGCCGGGGGGGCCACAGGAGCACAGGGGAGATCTCGTCCAGTGTGTCCCCATTGCTGTTCACACCCCACCTCACAACTTGTGTCATTCCTGTGTGTTACTGACTTGATGTTTTCTTTAGATTGATTCCTTTAAAAAAAAAAAAGTAACTAAAGTTAGCTCTGTTCTAGGGAAATATGTGAGAAATTAGGGATCTGTGCCAGTGAAATTTCTGAGTGTACATTAAACATATAACTATTAAGACATGTTTATTATGAGCCACCTGCCATTCTCATACAAGCCACCCTTTGGAAAACCCTGAATATTAATCCCACCCCTTTATTTTATTACCGGGGACTTGAAGCCCAGGTGGGAGAGGAAAGGTTTGCTCAGGGTCACACGCTGAACTCAGCCACTGCCCAGTGCGGGTGGGTGGGAACAGCAGAGACTCCCCACTGCATGCCGGAGAGGCCTGGCCCCTTCCCAGGTCAGGGGCTTCCCCGCTTGGGTGCGGGCAGCTGGCGGACTCAGATCTGTCCCCACAGGGAAAAGCGAGTTTGGAGAGGTGTTCCTGGCGAAGGCACAGGGCTTGGAGGAGGGGGTGGCAGAGACCCTGGTGCTGGTGAAGAGCCTGCAGAGCCGGGACGAGCAGCAGCAGCTGGACTTCCGGAGGGAGTTCGAGATGTTTGGGAAGCTGAGCCACGCCAACGTCGTGCGGCTCCTGGGGCTGTGTCGGGAGGCCGAGCCCCACTACATGGTGCTGGAGTATGTGGACCTGGTATGCTGCTGGCAGGGGATCTCGGGTCTCGGGCAGGGCAGTGTCCTCACGGGGGTTGGGGGGTGCACCATGGGAACCTCCCCTCTTGTGGTCTCAGCTGAGACCTCGGGTTTGCCTGCTGTTACACCGTTGACATGCTTGCCTCCTGCCCCTCCCCTCTGCCCCCAGCTCTGACACCTGCCTTCCCCGACCAGCACCTCCTCTGCCAGCCCTGTGTCGGGTACCAAGTTTCTCCTGGCTTCACTGCACCCGCATGGGTACCTTCCAGGCCTTCTTCTCTGACTCCGGTTTTCCTAGGGCTTGTCACCCCTTGAGAATAAACTAACAGAACCCGGCTTTCCCTCCTTCCCGCCATTCCCGTGTGAGGCACCGGTGTTAGCCCGGTCACCAGCCTTTTCTTTCCACCCTGATTGCATGCCCAGATCTGCCCCTTGCTCTTCATTCGCTGACTGACCTAGACCTGACTCCTCCGGTCCTCAAAAGGCTGCTTATCAGCCCCCCTCCCGCCCCCAGCTCTGGGCAGGAAGGGGAGGAGTAACCCGTCCTGCTCCCATCAGAAGTGTTTGCTTTGTGTACGTTTCTGCTGCTGGGGTCACCCCCTGTTTATGTCCAAGATGATCAACCCCTGGAGAGCGGGGGTCAGTGGGGTTCTGTTTTCTTCTTGGCACCTTGAAGGCAGGGGCTTCCACACCGCCTGTCTGAGGGTAGATAGGACAGCCCTCTCTTTCGGACTGACAGCTTCTGGGAGGCACCTGCTATGTATTCTTTCGTTCCCACTGGACTTCCCTCACGGGAGGGGGGGTCCAGTCGGGTGGGCGTTCAGGTGAGGACTGAACACCATCTGCCAGGCAGGCACCTGTGAGCACCTGCTTGCTTTGATGCCAGGGGTATAATGGCTGGGCTCTGACATGACAGACTTTTGCTTTTCCCTCAGGGAGACCTCAAACAGTTTCTGAGGATTTCCAAGAGCAAGGATGAAAAATTGAAGTCACAGCCCCTCAGCACTAAGCAGAAGGTGAGGACTGGGAGGGAGAAGAGGGCGGTCCTGGGGGTGGGCCAGGAGAAGGGCAGTCCTCACAACAGGTCTGCTAACAGTGCTCCCTGTGGGCCAAGGCCTTGTGGTAAGGACTGTGCATGTGTTTCTCAGTGATTACAATCATCATCTAATGTGTTGCCGTCACATGTTGTGGGTGAAGAAAACTGTGGGTTAGAGGTTAGTGAACTTGTCAATCCATACCTGAAAGTGGCTTTGTATTGGCCTGT